CACAAAAATACATAATTAATCATTTTCTCCTTTTTCAAAGTTATGTAAATTTTAGGGTGTTACAATGCACCTCAGGGTGCCTTTACAGCTCTCCTAACAGCACCACAGACATTTGAGGTACAGATAAAAAAAAAATGGATTTTCAATTCATTATTGCGCCATTCAAATTAAAATTCAACGATTAGCTAGCTAGCTGGGTGAAAAGCATATGCATTCAAAAAATAAAAGACCTAAACCTACAACACGTCACATTCATAAAATCAATCACAACTAGATCACCTCGTATGTTTTCACCAGATACTGCATAACTAATGCAGGCGAACACTCAAGCACAGATGGCAACCATTAAGCAAATTAGTAGGCAACAAACAAGATATTGCAATAATAGATCTCAATTTTATTGTTCTACAACAATTAGTAAGCCAAGTCAACCACTTGTAGTTAAACACTTACATACGGGAAGTACATACAGTCTTGCAGCAGTACTCAGAAAATACTAGCAGGGATCATTCTATTTTCTCTTCAGACACATCTTGCATTGGGTGAAAAAGAAAACACTCACTTGCGTGCCAACGAAAAATAAAAATACACACCCTTTTTCAAATCACAGCAAAACAAGGCCGGCATGCAGGCTCGCATAGTTTGGCAGAGACCAAATGCTGTGGTGAACATGTGGAAAATACATGCTGATGCAAGAGGCAAAACACAAAATGGATCACAAAATCATACAGCCTGCTCGCTTGTGCTAGCTGCAGCAGCTGCCGCCACACTCAGACAACAGTTGCTATTGCACATACAAATCAAACAGCAGCAGCTGCAGCCAATGTGAAAGAAGGGCAGCCGACACAGCCATAAACACTAACACCAGGATAAATCACAAATCTCAAGGGAAGGGACAGACAAGCATGGAGGACATCCATCTATTAGGGAAAAAAACATTGGAAAAAAACATGATGGTTCAGTCCAAATAAAAGCAACGAGGAGCATCAGAGCTGCTATCCTAGCACATGTCAAATCAATAGCTAGTTGCACGCAAAGTTCCAAAGCAAACCAGAAAAAGCTAGCATCAGTGCACACCACCTCCTTTCCACGGCAGATCACAGAAAAGCTAGCAGAAAACGGGGTTCCAGTCCATGTTCTCACATTCGGGAGAAGGCAGCATGAATCCCACCACAACCGCTCTCTCCAGGATGGCAGCACCGCCGACGGAGGCGGAGCTCATGAGCAGCGCGACCACCCATTCGACTCCCTCCTGGTTGAGCTCCTCGACGAGGTCTTGCTCCCAGTCCCGAGGCCGGCCCACCCTCATTCACGTCGCGACCGCCTTGACGAGCTGGCGCCGCGCCATCACCACCTCGTTCGATCTGCGCCACCGCTGACGCCAGTGACAATCAGCGCACACAGCAGCAGCTCCTCAATCAACAGCAATCGACGAATAACTACATGAAAGAACAACTACACTTACAAATTCGAACGCGCGCGTCGGAGTTGAGCGCATACGCACGAAGAGAGTCCGAAGAACTTCCCCGCAATCGACGCCTTGTCACGCAGGGGCACCTCTGCCGCCCTCGGCACGGGGGAAAGCGGCGGCGAGGCTCGCGCTCCACCCACGCCCGCGCAACCGCGACGGAGGAGACGAGAGAGGTGGAGGGGATTGGCCGTCATGATAGAACGGGTTTGCGGGTTTCGTTGCGCCAATTTTAGAATCCGCTAGCGTAGGTTTACGCCCGAAACACCACACGAATCTTGAAAGACAATGAACGGCCCAAAATCTGACAGATCCAAATCAACAAAATCAGTCGACAGAAATATAGCAAAATTCAAAAAGTATTGATGTTTATATTACCAAATAAATATTACTAAACTTATCATGGAATATAATTCACAATATATATGTTTGATGTCATAACCAATATATTATTGATTTTGTATAAAAAAAAACCAGTTTGCAAATCCGGCTGCATCACTAGTGCTAGTATGGTAGGTGACTAAACGGCTGTCTGGTAGAGCTCTAACTCAAGCCTAAACAACAACTCTATAAACAGTTTTTCTTTTTAAAATTCACTAGTTAAAATAACGTTTGATAAGATAATTTCTCTTCGTTATTTAAAAAAAGAAATATCCATAATATCTTTATTTTTTCTGATCCTTTTTCTCTTTGTATTCCTTTCTCTCTACACCTTATCACCACGTCCGGCAGAGCCGCACAAGGCGCACACACACACCGGCCTTGCCTTTCTCTCTCCACCGTATGGATGTGCCGTCGTCTCGGTCACAGACCCTCCTCGCATAGTCAAGTTTCCATGTACAGCTGCCAAAGTTGGGTCAGATCGAATAGCGATGGATGGAGCCAGCCGGCCACCATATTCTCCGACGATCCTTCCCTCCCTTCGCTATCAGGACATGTTTGGAACGCATGAACAAAAACACGGAAATAGGAAAAAATACAGGAATATGGTGAGTGTGTAGTGGTAAAATAGAGGAAAGAAAAAACGCGGAAAATAACTGGAAATGATGTTTGGAACGTAGGAATCCATAATACAGAAAAAATGCAAGAAGTAACATTATTTTTTGTTTCTCTTCTCTTGCTGTTTTGGTCTTCGTGAATCTATTGGTTTGGATTGGATGTTTTGTTTCCCGTAAAATGAATGAAGGTAGGAAACTTTCTTTTATTTTACTGTTGAAGTTTCCTTCATTCCAAACAGCATTTCTAGAAACCTTTCGAAAGGAATGGATTCCTATGAATTTCCTTTGGATTTCCTCCGATCCGAACAGGCCCTCATCCTCCTCGTCTCCTCCCATTGCATGCGACATCAGCACAGCACGCATCGCAGTCGTCGTCGGCAGTGCGTGCTTAGGCTGATTCTGTTTATTCGTTGAAAAATACTCTTAAACAGGGAGCGCACGGAGGCACGGCTGCGGACTCCTGCAGTGACTCGCAGCACCACCACGACATTACGACAACTACCATCGCATCAGAGCAGCTTGCATTGCCCACCACCACCACCGCTGCACGACCACCAGCCGCGCGCGTGCGTTCGTGTCGTGGTAGCTGATGGACCGGATCGGATCGCAGCACCGCAGCAGCAGCATGTCCGGCGGCGGCCCGGCAGCCAAGACCCGCGTCGACATGGCCATGCATGGTCATGGCGGGCCACAGAGAGTACGCGGCAGAGCCCGAGCAGCAGCGAGGCGGCGGCGGGCTGGAGCGCAACGACCGGGCCACGCTGCTGCTGGTGGCCACGCTCATCACGACGTCGTTGTACCAGGTGGGCAGCAACGTTCCCGGTGGCTACTGGCAGGACAATGACGAGCCGGAGCACCGGCACCGCGCGGGGGATACATGCTCTTCAGGTGGTCGAGCTGGATCGGGTTCGGCAGCTCCATGGTGCTCACCATGGGCCTGCTCACCGGCGTCGCCACGGGGTCGCGCTTCGTGCGCTGGCTCTTCGTCGTCGCCTACTCCACGCGCTCGTGCTCGATCACCTTCGTCACCTCCCAGATGCACTCCACCGTCTGGTCCGACGTCCTCGTCTGGGTCGCCGTCATGCACGTACGTCGGCGGCGACTCCTCGACCTCCTTGTCCCGCCAGTAGCCGCCGGCCACGTTGCTGCCCACCTGGTACCACGTAGCCAGCAGGAGCGTGACCAACATCTCATCAAGTAGCCGCCGCCTACGCATTGACCAACATCAAGACGCATCACGGCATGGTTTCTTTTATATTATTCCTAGTTGTTGTAGCCATTGCATCAATATATATGGTTCTAGCTTGTCGTTACATCAGTTTGCCTCAAGGCTGTTATGTTTGGCTCGAGGATTGGAAGTGTGTTTTTTATACTCTTGGAGATGCTCAGCTCTCATTCTACTTCACATGTATGCAATGATCTACGAGGCCGCTGGCGTATACTTGTCCTAATCAAAATAAAGGTGAAGTTGTAAAAAATGTTACAAAATCCGGTTTGTCACGAGGTCTGCCCTAATAAAGGTGAAATTATCAAGACGATACAAAATCGATTGTCACAAGGTCTAGAAGTTTCCAAAAAATATATTAAATTTTCTACCAATAAATGTGGACATGATATCATCCACCCAAATCTTCTTTTGCAACCCATGTTCAGGCTTTTTGCTTTTATGTTCTGTATCTATCTAATATATAAAGCTCACTATCTAAAAATCTAATACAATAAAGCTATTCGCTAATTTGATTTACATACCCCACTTATTTATCTAACCTTCCATCAGAATAGCTCTCCATCGGTTCCAAAGATGCTTTCTGCATCAATATGCCTTTGGAGTAAAAAATATTTTCTCATCCTTGGTTGTTCATATATCCCTGTTGAATGGCTAGCCAGTACATAAATATAAGCTTTCAGCTCATTTTGTATTCAAAGTACAGTACTCGCTCTGCTCTAAATTATAAGCCATTTTAAAAAACTATATATATCTAGTTTTATATAGTAAAAGTTATATAAAAAGCCCAGAACGACTTGTTTTTTTGGGGGGCGGGGAATCAATGGAGGGAGTATAAAATAAACTTTCCCAGAACTTGTTCTTTTTTAGCAAAAAAAAAAAAAGGCTTGTCAGAGCCTGGGTAGCATGGTTGGCCCAGTACCGACAAGCTTTATCCTGTTCGCTTGCTAGTAAATGATCGTAAATTTCCAGCTGGGAATAGTGTTTTTCTCTCACACCAAACCAGCCAGCAGTAAATAATCCACGATACGATACGGTCTTCCGAACATGCTGCTGATGCTGCTGGAGGTGGCATTTAAGGCACATACAGCCCACGCGCCACAATCTTTCACCCGGCCCACGCGGACCGAGCAATAGGCACATGAATGGGCTGGCACACCACCCAGCCCATGTAGCCACGTCGTTCTGCGTGTAGCTCATATAAAAGGCAACCCCCGACTCTGATAGGGTTTTCCTCTCGCGCCGCCGCGGAACACCACACTGCCGAATCCCCCACCCGTACCCGTACCCGGAGCAGAGGAGAGGAGAGATGGCGGAGAGGAAGGGAGGAGCGGCGAGAAAGGAGGAGGTGGTCACCAGGGAGTACACCATCAACCTCCACAAGCGCCTCCACGGCTGGTACCTCTCCCCCCTCTGGCCACCTTGCTGCGCGATGCACACTGCTCTCGCTGCGAGATCCGCCTCGCTTGCGAGATTTTCGTTTCGCTACTGATAGTATTTAGGCGCGGTAGCAGGTGGTATTTTTCTATTCGATACTACTCGTAGACAAGATCTCCCGGTTCCGCAGGCCCTGAGGCTCAACTAGTGTATGTCCTATGTGATCAGTTATATCGTCTTCGTACTTTGCATATGAGCACGAGATGAAACAATTCGATGGCCTTTCTGCTTGTGCTTTGTATATTTTTGTAGTGGCATTCGTTTGATATTTTCTTAATTTCATTTGCTAATTACTTGAAAGGTAAGTGTAATAAGCATCTAGCACCACCCTTTATTTCCACTTGGAATTGCAAATTTTGCTACCAGTTAGGAATTGATGGACCTATCTTAAGAAAATATAGCCCGTATATGCTCAATTAACATTCTTATCAGGTAAAGTTTTAGTGACTGTTGGTGCTTTTACCAAACCTATGAACCATGCAAACCTCATGAGACAGTATAAGTTCATTGATTTTTGGCGAGTATAGACTCAAATACTTAAGCATGAATAGAAATTTAGCTGCTTTGATTGCTTGTTCAGCTCATTTGTCTAGAATCAAAATCATCTGTATCCAATGTGTTCGTACATTGTAATATTCATTTCAGTTGCTGAATGCCTATCCAAGTGTCGTCTGATATCTGAATGGCCTATTCTTATTTCTTCTTAACCTTGTACTGTTATTGGAACTGAAGGTTACTGAATGCCATGATCCCACTTTCTTCTTACCAACATTTTCTTATGTTTTGCAGCACATTCAAGAAGAAGGCACCCAATGCCATCAAGGAGATCAGGAAGTTTGCACAGAAGGCTATGGGCACCACCGACATCAGGATTGATGTGAAGCTCAACAAGCACATCTGGAGCAGCGGAATCAGGAGCGTGCCACGGAGGGTTCGTGTGAGGATTGCCCGCAAGAGGAACGACGAGGAGGATGCCAAGGAGGAACTCTACTCCCTTGTCACCGTCTCTGAGATCCCTGCCGAGGGCTTGAAAGGGCTGGGAACCAAGGTCATTGATGAAGCCGATTAAGCTATCACATTGTCTACATCTTTAGAGAGTTCTTAGTTTGTATTTGCAACACCAAACCTTTTGTATCCAAAGAAGTTTTGTACTCTGGTACTGTGATCGACATCACAAAGTTGTCTATTTCCTCAATCGAATTACGTGGCTAGTTCTTTTGTTTGTGTTTACATTCTCAGTTGTGTTCCTTGGATATATGGATATATGTAAATCGTGAGTATGGTTTAGCAACTTCGTGGCTAGGAATCTCCCATTTCAATGACAGGGTGACTTGGAATTTCCCATTTAAATGAAGGGTGAATTCTCTTTTTAGCTGAAACATATGTCCGACAAGCTTGACTAAATTCTTGAGCTGTGTTGTTAAAGATTGAGGACCATTTGTTCACTAGTATTTGTGACGGGAATGCTAATTGATCAGCCATCACAATCCTGGTGGCAGCTGGCTGCAAATGTTGTGGGTTTTTGGTTGGGGGAGAAGACACCTGCAGTGAACTTGATCAGGGCACTATTGTATGATCAAACGCCAAGCTCCACATCAAGTTGCATTGAACTTAATGGATCGGCGCAATCCAAAGTAGCATCTGCAGATGGGGAGTCACCGTCGGCGGCCGCCGTCCGACTCGATTGGTTTCCGTTGGCCAGTCACCATACACTGATATGTTAAGAATAGTGGAGACAGCTCAAAGGTAATTGTCTCAAGTGCACATCAAATTGTTAGGTGAGGAGAATGTCATACCATTATACAATTGTTGCTCAATACTGCGTCAGTATCTTTGCGACACCCTAGAGGCCTACACAACAGTGGCCTCGTAAACATACTTTCATTTCACAAACTTGCACCGTCCATAGTGTTATTCGTATGTATCTGAATTGCTGACTTGCTGCTATACTACAAAAGAGCTACATATATTGGGATTGTGGGAATGTACTGTACAAGAAAGTGTTGCACTTTACTGTAAGGACTGCTGAAGGGCCTACCGCCTACGCAAATAGGCCTTCTTTTGCTCTCACAATGGGGCAGCTGTAGAAGAGATTTTAGGTTTTACAGGTTCATCCATCACCGTTGCTCCAACCATACTTCTCTTAGGAGCGTGTATCTTGTATTCTCCATGGAAACTCCTCTCTGAGAACTGAAATGTGCGAAACTGTTTGATGGCGAAGGTGGAGCACTCCTGTCCATTAGGGATGCAAGGGGAGAATCCAGGTCATCAAGGTCATCGTCACTGGTATACCCTCTCCTCTGCACCATTGAGGCTTTCCTGTCCAGCTTTGCGCCACCTCCTATGTCTGCCACTTTCTCTGCCGCATCCAATGTTGAAGGTGCGTGGTACACTATAGGAGCAGCGATGCATGGAAACACATTGATCACGTCTTTGTTGGTGTGACGATCCAGCAAGCTCTGCATAGCAGTATATATCAATGCATTTGAGTGATATTGTCAGCAAGATAATATGTGTAAGGCTGGAGTAGAAAACCAGAGTGGAACAAACCTCAGAATTCAGCTCTTCTAAGACCGTGCTTGGAACCGCATCAGGGCAAAACTCGTCTGGGGTGAAGTTGCACAGGATTCTGGTCACTAATTGAAGGCCAATTGAAGGACAGACCTAAGAAAGACATCAAAAGGTTAACCACAACGGAATTGGTGGTTACATACAAGAGGAGACAGTAATGATAATTTGCCAGCTGCTATGCACAAACACCGACCTCTTTCCTGAAAGATTTTTCAAGAAGCATGTCCTTTGGGAGCATCAGGAGATCACTTAGTTCATTAAGCAGTTGAAACGATTTTGTTTCAGCTGCGCCTCTTCTTTCATCTTCAACATCTCCTATGTCCTCAGAATCATCGTCATCCATGCCAAGCTTATCTGTCAGCCATCTGGACCAGTTTCCAGTCTGCATAGTCATTTTATTTCATATAAATTCGTTGTTTGAGGCGAGGTGTAATAGCAAGATCCAACTACATTTGTATCTAGTTTTGCTCCTTAGCAAGCTACATCCAGACAAACAACTACATAACAATTACAACAACAACAACAAAAAAAGGAACTGGTAGTAATGCACAAAAAGCGAGTGAATCAGGCACGTACAGAGTTCTTCAGCTGCGCGCCTGACCCAAAGCTTAGATCACCAGCTGGAATTGGTAGGACTTTTGGGTCAACAATTGGGTCAGATATAGGGTCTGTCGGTATCTCACTTGCTGATTCACGAAGGATGGCATTAAACATGGCAACATCCAAACGGGCTACACATTGCTCCATCACCTAATAATGAAGAACTCGTGAAGTTCAGAAATATATTTGCAGTAACAAATAAAATGCTTATTCTTTGAAATTAAGGATGTTAAAAAAAATACCAGTTTTGCTAATACTGGTAAACAGCCACACTCATGTCCGCCAGCACGAAGGGGGCACATTCTGCTGAATGCATCGTGAAACGCAGCCTTCCACAGGTTAACAGAAAAGGTGCCCTGCTGCTGATCACCCAAAGCAGGACCTAACACTCTACCAGCCTTTGGAGTTGATGATCCTTCCGCCCGTTTTTGCATGTGAGGAGTTAGTGCCTGGAAGAGAAACATCCTTAAGAAAACTGACAACATGAAGAATCAGAACATATTCAGAGAACAAGTAGCCATAAGAGACAGTGACTTCTTTTTTCTAAAAAAAACACCAGACTAGGACAGGATGTTCCCAGCTTCATGAAAGTGTCAGTAAGAATGTATTGTCTAAGACAGACATTTACCTGCCACCATACTGTCTCAACAATGCGAGAAAACATCCAAGATTCGATCTTCTCTAATGCAGCCAAAAGTGTACTTGTTTCCTGCCAATCATCTGGCATCTGCATTGTAGCAAGTTTGGCTTGCTTGCCATTGGAGTTGTTTCTCCACAGCATTGTCATAGATTTCCCGTCAAGTTTTTTGGCACCACCATTCATGTTCATAGTCGTCATGGATGGAGCAAATTGATGTGAGATGCCAAAAGTTTGTACAATTATCTCCCTGAGGACAACTGTGTTGGACAGCCAGAATGTCAGCCTATAACAAGAGTAGTTTGTTAGTTAAGAGGATTTTTTTAGGGTAATGCTATGTGGAGCTAAAATTCAGATTAAGCACAGCTAAGTTATACCTCGAAGCATCATTGCTACTGGACTTTGCAACAAGAACAAGACCAGAAGCGATGGTTTTTGCTGCCGAAGCTCTCTTATCTTCAGACCAAAACTTGGATGCATGGATATATAGTCTAGAAAGACGCCGAGCTGGGGTGTGCAACTTATGTGCTGAACTTCCATGCTCGGGCACTACAGAGTACAGAGAAACTTCAAGAGCAGCAACTTCACGAAGTTCCTGTTCCAACTTGTCAATTTTCGACACTAATTCCCCATTGCCTTGACCTACAACTGATTTTTCATGATCAACTACCTTGTCTTCAATATCAGGAGTGTCATCATCAGTACCGGTACTCTGATCACAGTGTGGAGCTTCATCTAACACATCGATCTCCTTAGCCTCCTCAGTCCCTTTATCATCAGCAGTTCCAGCATCACTGATTATATCATCTGTTTCCTCAGACAATTCTGACGGAGGGCGGGAAGGAATTCTTGTAATCTCTGGTTTTCTAACTTCAACAGCCTTAGCAGCACTAACTGTTTTCTTTTGTTTCTGAGACTTGTTCTGTACATTGTTTAATCCTTTATGTTGCAGCTTGTTTTGAGGTTGACGGCTGGCGCTGCTTTTGGTCGTTCTGGGGCTATTATCTTTTGTCTCCTTTTTACTGAGCTTCCTTGGAACCCGAGACTCACCTTGTGATGAAAAGGAGTCTCTAGTAGGTACATAATCTGATCCAGTCCCCTTCTTCTCATCTCTTCCCTCCCCATTATCTCTTGCGCCCATTTCAGGTACTTCAAATTGTTAGAAACTTGATGCCTGCAGAAATAACAAGCACAGATGGTTAAATTGTTCTAGCAACTTTTGCAAACTGATCAGGCTTACAAAAGCATGCATGTTCAAAAAAAATATAACGCTGATGACACTTGGATCAGAATTAAGAAGAAACAGGAGATCCAGAAAAAGTGCTCATGCTAAAAGGAGAAACCTTCATCAGTAAAGAAAAATGTTACCAACCAAGGAGAATCAGGTGGTTTTTTTATTAAGAAGAAAATAGGTACCTAAATTCTAGTTGAAGAGGACTCAAACCTGGGTGATTGGGTGCATGACCACACCTCCAACCCAACCAGTTAAGAAGATTGACGACGGACACACTAAGAAGTAAAGAAGTGAGAATGCACACCTTAAAAGCGTGGTTACCGATCTGAACTCAGATCAAGCTCACTCTTGCTTCCATCAGATTGAACTCTTGGAACCTTATCAAGGTGCCGACTGCCTAAGGACACGACTGCTAAGAGTTATATTGGAATCCCATCTATGTTAAGGTACTTGATCAAGATTGAGCTGCACTTTGGTGATCCAAGCAGCTCTGCAAAATTTAGTGCTAGCTAATGAACAGCAAGATCATCGAATTCAAAAGCTTATCTTAAACATGACTACCAATCAAAATTGCCAAAAGATGGTTACCATAGTAGAGATACGATAAAGTGGGAAAGTGATTAAATTCCCACCTAAATAGGAAAACGCACCACCAAACCACTCTAGTAGGAGTAAAGACGGTAGCATCATAGAAAAATTGCCAAACATGCATCAGAAGCGCGTGTCAGTTCCACCCCAAATTCCAAAAAAGTGCTACAGTATCTATCACATCGAATCTTGCGATTTAAATGTAGACGAAAAAAAAACTAATTGCACAGTTTGGTTGGAAATTGCGAGACGAACGTTTTGAGTCTAATTAGTACATGATTGAACATTAATTACCAAATAAAAACGAAAGTGCTACAGTAGCCCCAATTCCCAAATTCACCTAACTAAACACGCGCAGAAGCCACTCCCTAGACCTTCTTTCCCACACCAATCATGAAACAATAACAGCTGCCGGAAATCACCAATCACAACCCAAAGC